AAATGCACAGAATCTGTCTCAACACTGCCTCGGCTTTCGGTCTCGGATTCGGAGCCATCGATGTCGAGCCCGACGGCAAGAAATGCGGACCAATTGTGAAGGAAATTCTGTCGACGATTTCAAAGCTCGAGTACATCCCGGAGAACCAGATGGACGCCGCGTGCGCTCTCGGAGGCCACGGATTGGCTTTTGTGTATTATTACATCAACGCTTTGGCTGACGGCGCCTTCAAAATGGGTCTCAATCGGCAAATGGCGACCAAATTGGCGGCCAAAACGGCTCAATGCGCTGCTCTCTCTTTGATTGAGTCCGGCAAACATCCCTCTGAACTGAAAGAGAGCTGCACTTCGGCTGCCGGTCCGGCCACTTATGGCATCCATGTCTTGGACAAAGCGGATGTCGGTTCCGGTGTCGCCGCTGCCATCGAAGGCGCTCACAAAAGAGCCAAAGAATTGGCCGAAGAAATACCCAAAGATTGATGTAAACTGAAGACAATTACTCACAAGTCGTCCATTGAATAAAGAAGTCTTCAAAAGTTTTCACTTTGTTTTCATTAAAATATAAAACTTTGTATTCATTTATTCAAATGTAAACTCAAATAAAAAGTTGTTTTTCGGAATTACAGATGAATTCAAATTAAAATTACATTTTATTTTTAAAACAAATTTGAGGTTTTAGTGAATATAGCAGAATAAACATAAGAGTAAATGAAATTTTGAGTTAAATGTGATACTAATCGAAGGAAACATATTTTAAGGCAATGTTTCAGCCTAAGATCTGATTGTGCCTGAAGATGGCTTTGAACCGGTTTTGGTGACCGAAGTGGGCTTAGGAGGAAGAGGTAGTGGCGGCTGACCCGTGAGATGTATGTATCGACTTTTTCCCGTCACATTTTCAAGTAGTTTCACACCAAAGTATACGATACACACCACACAACAGCCAGCAATGATCAAAACGACCAAATAGGTGATGACCACAGTTGCATAAGTGTCCGAATCCATTTGATAGATGGTCACACTTCCGTCCAATCCCGTATTGTTGAAGGTCAACATTTCCGATAAACTGCTTGTGGTATCAAAATTGTGTTATTTCTGTGTTTGGTTTTGTAAATCAATACCTAAAGTGCGCTAATTGTATGACAAACAGAATCATTAGATTGATTCTCGTCATCAGAGTTGTGGCCATAGTTTGTTTCGCTTGTCTTTAGTGAACTAAATTGATGACAACTTTTGAATTTACAATCAAATACTAAACACTTTTGAAGTGGTTTTCAAAACTAATTTCTTGACCAAAATGTCTAATCTATAGTGTTTCAATCAATCAATACTCGAGTTTTCTGTTATAACTTTTAAATTTGAATTTTGGGAAATATTCGTATTTAAGTAATAATACATTCACGCGATTAGTTAATAACTCGAGTTAAACTATAAGATTGTGAATAACGCAATAATTATAAATTATAATTTACATGCAAATATAAAATAACAATTACAAATAAAACTACAAACAACAGTAATCCCTAATACAGATTCCCTATAACTCTGTAATTATAAAAGTCTACAAATATACAAATTCTTATTTATTTGAAACAATTAACTTAATCGTGAAATGAATAATCGTATAACTGATTATAGATTTCACAATTAATTTGAATTTATTGTAAATCAATACCTAAAGTGCGCTAATTGTATGACAAACAGAATCATTAGATTGATTCTCGTCATCAGAGTTGTGGCCATAGTTTGTTTCGCTTGTCTTTAGTGAACTAAATTGATGACAACTTTTTAATTTACAATCAAATACTAAACACTTTTAGTCTAATCTATAAAGTGTTTCAATCAATCAATACTCGAGTTTTCTGTTATAACTTTTGAATTTGAATTTTAGGAAATATTCGTATTTAAGTAATAATACATTTCACGAGATTAGTTGATAACTCGAGTTAAACTTATAAGATTGTGAATAACGCAATAATTATAAATTATAATTTACATGCAAATATAAAATAACAATTACAAATAAAACTACAATTAACAGTAATCCCTAATACAGTAATCCCTATAACTCTGTAATTATAAAAGTCTACAAATATACAAATTCTTATTTATTTGAAACAATTAACTTAATCGTGAAATGAATAATCGTATAACTGATTATAGATTTCACAATTAATTTGAATTTATAAAAAACACTGATTTTTTGAAAAATTCAATTTTAACGGTTTATACAAATTTTGATTGAATACCAAGTGTTGTATAAATTGGTGATAAATGTCTTTCATATGGAAGTGTTGTCCGTGTCTTTCAGACACAACTGAAAAGGAAACTAAAAAAAGTAAACCTAAAACCACAGCCAAGACATTAAAGGCTGGCACTGATCGGAGAGCAGACAAGAATGTGACTCCGAGTCAGATCCCAACCAAAGACGTCACGCGTGTCTATAAAGTGCCCGAAGAATTCAAGTCTACCGATGACTGTCTCAGGAGTCAGGGCTTAACATTCAAGAAGCAGTTGGGGGAGCAGTTAGGGAAGGGAGCTTTTGGGAAGGTTTATGAAATCACCGCAAAGACCGGTGTAATGGCCTGTAAAGTGGTTGAGTTGTCGTCTCCTTTGAACACAACAGCACAAACTGAAGAGTCTTTTGCTCAGGAGATCGTTATAATGGAAAGAGTGAATAAACAACACATAAATATTGTTCAAATTCTTCAGCACTTCATTATCCACGAGAAGAATCAAAAGAAGGGTTATATACTCATGGAATTAGCGAAAAGCGATGTTTACTCTCAAGTGAAAGCCACTACTGGTCAACGATTTCCTGAAGAAAAAGCCAAACATTATTTCAGACAAATAGCCAATGGTCTGAATTTTCTGCACAAACAAAACATCGCTCACAAAGACCTCAAACTAAACAATGTATTGGTTTTTAAAGAAGATTTGCTTAAATTAACTGATTTTGGGTTAAGTCGTGTCGCCTATACTAAGGATAAAAAGGTCCTTAAAGAGAAACTCGTGGCCGGAACTGCTGATTACATGTCCCCTCAATTGATGAAACTATTTATAAACGAGAAGTTTGGAGAAAAAGTGGATGTTTTGAGAAAATATCCCTCATATCAAGCGGACTGTTGGGCACTCGGAGTTTGTCTTTATTACATGATTTGTGGCAAAAATCCTTTTCGTTTTAATAACAGCAAAGCGAAGGAATGTGTGGACGCTTTTCGCAAAATGATGGACAGAAAGTATGAGATATCAAAGTTAACTGAAAACAGTTACTCAAAGAATTGTTTGGATTTAATTCGATGGCTATTAGAACCGGTGGTCGAGACCAGGATTCCTATGAAGACAGTTATGTTACATAAATGGCTACTAATAGACTAATCACTCAAAGAATTAAATGTTTATAATTTATAAATGATTTATAGATATATTTTTATTTAAAGAACATTTTAGTAGAAGTTTTGAGTTTAAATAATTAATTTATAATAAAAAAATATTTCATTTAAAAATGAGTTATTATTAAAGCAGAGATTATTCGGGAATAAAAACAGTCAAATTCGGGAATATTGGGAAATTAACGTTAATTCAGTTTAAACACAATAATTATAAATTTAAATCCTTTTCAAATGAACCATGGTAAGTAGAATATCATAGAAATTAAAGTTTTATTCTTTAAGTCTTCTAATTGTAAAACTATTCTTAAATTATCGCAATTCCTGTCACAGAATATTCTGTACATTCAATGCATATGTCATTGAATAACAGAATTGTGACGATATTTCTGACACTTTTCTAATACAACATATTTTTGATTATTTTGGCGCAAACTTAAGAAAATGATAATAAATAACGCTTTGAATAAATAGCAATATTTAGCACAAAATCAATGCAAATCTCTAGTAATAAAGTGAACGTTATTTATGACTGATTTTATAATCAATGATTTGTTTGTCTATTAGTTTTGCAGTGAATTTCATAACAATTTAATAACTCATTAATTAGTGCCAAAAAATGGTAATAATTATAGTGTTTTGCACTGAAATTAATGTCCAATTAATTGATTATATATTTTAATGAATGGTTTGTCTCTTCAGAGCGTTTCCGACGATTCAAAGATGAGATTAATTGAAACCAATTTTCAAATCCTTT